CTCCCTCCTCTAGTAGTTCCCGGTATTTCTTGTTGCCATCTTTATGTCCATGTTTATCCAATGTTTAGCACCTACTTTTAAGTGAGAACATGTGGTATTTGGTTTTCTGTTCCTGTGTTAATTTATTTAGGGTAATGGCCACCAGCTGCATCCATGTCGCTGCAAAAGACGTTTTATTCTTTTTAATGGCTGCGTGGCGTTCCATGGTGTATGTGCACCACATTTTCTTTGTCCAGTCCGCTGTTGCTGGGCATCTAGGTTGACTTCATGCTGCTATGAATAGTGCTGCAGTGAACATACAAATGCGTGTTTCTTTTTGTAAACTAAGACACATTTACATTAGCCTAGGTCTACACAGGTTTAGGATCATGAATATCATTGTCTTCCACCTCCACATTTTATCCCACTAGAAAGTCTTCAGGGAGGCCAGGCATGGTGGCTTATGCCTGTAATCACAACGTTTTTGGGAGGCCAGGGTGGACATACAGATCACTGGAGGCCAGGAGTTCAAGACTAGCCTAGCCAACGTGGCGAAACCTTGTTTCTACCAAAAAAAATACAAAAATTAGCTGGGTGTGGTGGTGCATGCCTGTCGTCCCAGCTGCCTGGGAGGCTGAGACATGAGAATTGCTTGAATCTGGGAGATGGAGGTTGCAGTGAGCCAAAATCATGCCACTGCACTTCAGCCTGGGCACTATGAGACTGTCTCAAAAAAAAATTCTTTGGGGCAAAACTCACGTAGAGCTGCCTCTCCTAGGATAACAGTACCTTTCAGACTACCTCCTGAAGGATCTGCCTGAGGATGTTTTACAGTTAACTTAAAAAAATAAGTCGAGGGAGTACACTCTAAAATAATGATAAAAAGCGTAATGTAATAAAAACATAGCCAGTTATAGAGGCATTTATTATCAAACATTGTGTGCTGCATATAATGATATTTGCTAGACTTGTCTGATACTGGCAGCGTGATACATGTATGTATACCAGCATCACCACACACACGTGAGTAATGCACATTGTGCTACAACATTATGAAGGTTGTGTGTCACTAGGTGATAGGAATTTTTCAACTGCATTATAATCTTATATATGCTGTCTGTTATTGACTGTGACATCATCATGCAGCATGTGACTGTACAGTCACATTCCAAGGTACTGGGGTTAGGGCTTCAGCATAGGAATTTTGGGGGAACACAATTCAGTCCATAACACTGTTACTCACTACTCTGGCAGCAGTTCCTTACTCAGGATGAAGTCTTTACTCCCAGAGATTTGTCGTCTGGTTAATCAGATAGATGAATTTTTTTAAACTGATATTTAATGAAGTAGATTGGCTTTTGTTTTTTTGTATTGAGATGGAGCCTCACTCTGTCATCCAAGCTAGAGTGCCTTGGTGTGATCTCAGCTCACTGCAACCTCCACCTCCCAGGCTCAAGCGATTCTCCTGCCTCACCCTCCCAAGTAGCTGGGATTACAGGTGTGTGCCACCACGCCCAACAGATTTTTTGTATTTTTAGTAGAGATGGGGTTTCACCATGTTGGCCAGGCTGGTCTTGAATCCCTGACCTCAGTGATCTACCTGCCTCTGCCTCCCAAATGTTGGGATTATAGGCGTGAGCCACCGTGCCTGGCCACTAATTTTTATATTTTTAGTAAAATTTAGTAAATTTTAGTAAAACAAAGTAGATTGGTTTTATAAAGAAAGCAGGGATATTAGTTCATAGATCAGAAGCCAAAGAGTGGGTTGTGTGTCCTTCTTTAGGTACATTTTGTTAATTTACACAATCATTTATTCATGTGTTTATCAAATAGTTAATAAGGGCCTCTGCAGTACCAGGCATTATGCTAAGAGCTGGCCATGCAGCCATGAGAATAAATACGTAGTGCCTGCCATTGTCAAGTTTGCCACCTGGTATATATTTAAGACATTTATGTCTCTGGATTGTAAAGACACATAATCCAGACATAATCCATTCCTCTAGGATGTTAGCTCTTGGGAGGTATTGCTATTAGACCATAGTAGTTACAAGTACTGGCTTTGTGTTTTAAAAGTTAATTTATTAATTGCTGATTCTACCACTTCCTAGGAATGTAACCTTAAGCAAATTATTTAACCTCCTTAAACCCCTGTTTTCTCAGTTGTAAAATAGGGGTTATATAAATATTTCATAGGGCTAATTCATGATTAAATGAGATAATACATGTCGCATGCCTAGTACCATACTTGGCATCTGGGAGAAGTGCTTAAGCAAATTGTTGCTGCAGTTTTTTGAATACAGGAGTGAAATGAAACCTTTCATTGGAGGTAAAATTCAGGAGACACTAAGAATAACTTTATATGTAGGTTTCTAATAATTGTGGAGATCTTTTGCCAACGCTTTGGAATGTGTTGGTTTTTTATAATTTACACCCTGCCAGTTACTGGAAAGAATTTGAAATAGCTGTCTAGCTTAAGAGTGTGTTCCAATTTTGAGATAATAGAAAAACAGTGAACTAGAATTAAGACTACCTTAGCACGAGCTTTGGCTTTTTGAGCCAGCTGGGAGATCCAGGATTACCACAAAGTCTAGACTTTCCCTGTCAGATTATTTGTGTTGTTTATTAATTAGGGAATGGTCAATTTTAGATACTAGCATTTAGGTTTCTGAGGATTGGTATATAATTGCTAAAGTCTTACAAGTTTGAAAATTATATTCTGAAAGCAGAAATAATATAACCTGAACTTAATCTTGCTTCTGAATAAAATAATTATCACACCAGAGAATAATCTTTAATATGTGACTGAATATTTAATTGATTTATGGTCTTTGCTGAAGTTCATTTCAAAGCCCCCAATATAGTGTTTAACTTCACATTTACATTGATTCTTATTTTTGTGGCAGTGTTCTCACAAAAAGCACTGAAGTTACAAGTTTTAACATCTTGATTTTCTCACCTGGCTGTCCAGTATTTGAAGCACACTTGGAAGGCACTGTTGAAACACGTTTTAACTGATAAAGACAGTATCGGGCTTCATGAGAGGCTTTTTGTTGTTGTTGTTTTCGTTTTTGCTTGGCAGGGTTAGGGGTACTTTTTGACTGGATGGATTGTTAGGCCACTTTGGTTATCATAAGATAAGAAGATAAAATATTTTAAAGAAAATAACATCCTTTTATGAGATGAGAAAGCACAAACTCATGAAAATATGCTCTCCTTGGATACTTCTCTCTGTTTAAGTTCTTTGTTATTTTATGAAAAGTTACAAAATTTTAATCAACTTTACTATGTAATTTAAATGCCTGAAATTAGGTACTGTACCTCATAGGGTTGCAGAACTTAATTTTCATATGATAATTGGTGTTAATGAATGTTGCATCTTCTAATGTTGCAAATACTTTGATATTTTCTAAAAAGGATTACGAACTACAGATTTGTTTCAAGTTCAGTTGTTATGTGATGTCAAAGCCTAGACAACTTGCAGAATGGGAGAAAGTTGTATAAATCATATTTGATAAGGGGTTAGTATCTAGACTATGTAAAGAACTCCTACAACTCAGCAGCAACAACAAAACAACCTGATGCAAAAATGGGCAAAAGACTTATTAAATAGATGTTTCTCCAAAGACGATCTACAAATGGTCAGTAAGCACATGAAAAGATGTTCAGCACCATTATTGACTAGGGAAATGCACACCAAAACCACAGTGAGATACTGCTTCATACTCATTAGGATATATGTTAATTTTTAAGGAAAAAAGGGGGGAAATAACCAGTGTTGGTGAGGATATGAAGAAATTGGAACGCTCATGCATTGCAGATGGGAATGTAAAATGGTACAGCTGCAAGTTTGGTGGTTTCTCAAAAAGTTAAACACAGAGCAATCATTTGATCCAGGATTTCCACTCTTGGGTTTATGGTCAAAGCATTGAAAGCAGGGAGTTTCAACAGATAGTATGTACTAATGTTCATAGCAGCATTAATCACAACAACCAGAGGTGAAAACAACCCATGGACATCAACAGATGAATGGATAAACGAAATGTGATATATATATAGATATGCATAGAGTGGAATGTGTTTATCCATAAAAGAATGCAACAGGCTAAGTGAAATAAGCCTGGCATGAAAGGATATGTATTGTGTGGTTCCACTTACATGCAATATCTAGATTAGGAACATTCTTAGGGACAGATAGTAGAGTAGAGGTTACTAGGGCCTTGGGGAAAAAGGCAATGGGGTTATTGTGTGATGCGTGGGCCCCTTCAGCACCGGGACTGTTAGGAATTGGGCCACACAGCAGGAGGTGAGCCACAGGCAAGCGAGCATGACCACCTGAGCTCTGCCTCCTGTCAGATTAGCAGCGGCATTAGATTCTCATAGGAGCTTGAACCCTGTTGTGAACCGCGCATGTGAAGGATCTAGGTTGCGTGCTCCTTCTGAGAATCTAATGCCTAATGAATGATCTGAGGGGAAACGGTTTCATCTTGAAACTATCCACCATCCGCCCCTTCCCCCAGCCCCCGCCCTGCACCTCCACCCCATTATCCGTGGAAAATTTGTCTTCCATAAAACTCATTTCTGATGCCAAAAAGGTTGGGGACCGCTGGTTTAATGGATTCAGAGCTTCTGTTTGGGATGACAAAAAAAATTCTAAAATGGATAGTGGTGATGATCGCAGAACATTGTGAGTATACTTATAGGATGCCATGAATTGTACACTTAAAAATGATTAAAGTGGTCATTTTTATGTTATATATATTTTACCACAATCAAAAAGTTAAAATAACCAACCAAACAACAACAAAATAGATTTACTCAGATATACCTGTTCAGTGTCTTTTCCTCACAGATATTTTCTCATTTGTTACTGAAGTATCTGTCTCAAAATTGTGTGGGTGCTTATTAGATTTTTAAGATTGATTACCCGTGGGTTTGTATTGCCTTTGAATTACAAATGGTGTAGGGGTTTTTAGCATTATTTTTGTGACAGAAATTGTTAATGGATCTCCTTTGTTTTGCAGTTACTTCGAGAGCTTAAGCATCCAAACGTCATTTCTCTTCAAAAGGTGTTTCTGTCTCATGCTGATAGGAAGGTGTGGCTTCTGTTTGACTATGCTGAACATGACCTCTGGGTAAGGTGAATTGCTGGCAGACATGAGCAAACAGTTAGGGATTGTTAAGAGTAACTAAAACCAATTAGGTGTTCCCCTTATTATGAGACTTACGTTCTTAAAATAAAAGTGACCTCATGGAGTGTGGTTGGTGGCATTACCAAGGCTAGAGTATTTATTTGACTTTGTATTATTGCTTTTCAATATTGTCACTTTGATCTTTTAACAGATACTAAAGAAAACAATAGAATCTCAAGAGTGTTCAACAGCTATTCAATATTGCTTCATATAGTTTTTTGATGAAATGAAAAGTAACTGTAGTATCTATAAAATTTTGCTCTAAAATAGAAAAGTAGCATATTTCCTTTTATTCCGTCATATAAAGGGAATATAAAATGAGAAGGTGGTATCCTCATGTAGGAGGACGAATATGCTATCTTTGGAGAGATCTAATGGTTCTACCATTATTTATCATATAGCATTAGGCAAGTCTTTTAATGGCTTTGAAGCTGTAATTTACCCCGTCTGTAAAATGTAATACTTTCTTTCCTTTTTTAACAACGTTTTTCTGAGGAACAATCTTGTAGTTGAAAAGTTTTATTAATGAAATATACAAATGTAGGAAACTATTATTAATTATTAACTATTCACAGTTGAATTTAATATCCTAATGCTTATTGTCATTGACAGTAATTCAATATAGTATAGTCATGCACCATATAATGTTACTGTCAACTAGGGACTGCATATATGATAGTGGTCTCGTAAGATTATAGTACCATATTGTGACTGTACCTTCTCTATGTTTACATCTGTTTAGCTAACACACTTAATTACTATTGTGTCACAATTGCCTTCCTTATTCAGTACAGTAACGTGCAAGTTTGTAGCGTAGGAGCAGTAGGCTATACTATATAGCCTGGGTTTGTGGTAAAGCCTATCATCTAGGTTTATGTAAGTACACTCTGTGATGTTTACACAACTGCAAAATTGCCTAAGACACATTTTTCAGAATGTATCCCTTCATTAAGTAGTGCGTGACTGCATTGTACTTACTTGAATTGGGCATAATCTTGCATTGGAGGAATTCTTTGTGGATGAGAGCTCTATTAAAAAATGAGATTGGTGTGAAAATAAATTTTAATATCTCTTGAGACTTTTAGTTATTCTTTGTTTTCTGACCTGTGATAAGAATAGTTTTAGGTCAAGTTTAGTGGATCACACCTGTAGACCCAGCACTTTGGGAGGCCAAAGCAGGAAGATCACTTGAGCCAAAGGATTTGAGACAAACCTGGGCCACATGGCAAGACCCTATCTCTACAAAAAAAAAAAAAAAATTGGCTGAGCTCAGTGGCACACACCTGTGGTCCCAGCTGTTCATGGGACTGAAGCCCAGGAAGTCGAGGCTGCAGTGGGTCCTGTTCACGCTGTTGCACTCCAGCCTGGCTAAGTTTTGTATTTTTGGTAGAGACAGGGTTTCACCATGTTGACCAGGCTGGTCTCTTAGCTCCTGATGTCAGGTGATCTGCCCACCTCGGCCTCTCAAAGTGCTGGGATTACAGGCCTGAGCCACTGAGCCCAACCGGTTTATTAGTTTATCTAATGCAATGCAGAAAATGATGCTATATTGAAAAAAATTACTGTAAAATAAGAACTTAAATTAATCTTGTCTAAGTAGCTGAAATTCAAACACCAGCCTCAGTATTTTGCAGTTTACTAAGCAGATTATTTTTTAAATTGGTATTTGAGGAACTCTCAGGTAACTATAAAATTTGCTGTTTTGTTAAATATAACATTTATGTTTAAAAAAAATCTGAAACGTTACCTTGCAGGTAAGACTGAGATATATATATTATATACATATATATATAGAAAATCTATAACAGGATAGCCAAAGTAATTTTGAAACATATTCACAAAATTTACATTCTTACCAATCTGTATAAAGAACATCTGTTAATACAGATTATAGTTTAAGAAACAAGTAAACCAAACCTCTAACATTACCTTGTGTTAATTCATTAAGAATTACTTTACTCCTGTGTACTGGGTTTTTAATATTTAATAATGTCTTTAAACATTGTATTGATTTGCATACTAATCTATATTTACTAAATTAGCATGGCCATGCTTTTTAATTTGTACACAGGAAATTTTCTCTCTTTTATGAAACTCTTTTGAAAGTTCATGCTGATTATTAATTTTTTCTTCTTCTTTTTTTAATCTTTGGTTCTTCTGTTCTTCTATTTTAAAATAAGTCTAATCGGATCAACCCTGTTAAATCAGCGTGGCCAGTATTATATTGGACACTCACCATACTGAGCCTCATAAGAAATGAAGTCATATAATTTAAATGTAAGGCATTTTCCAGGCTGGTTCATAAACAAGATTTGTGATAAACCACGGTAGAGCGTAGAAGATAGTATAATATTTCACTCAATGTGATTTCTAGCTGCTAGTTTGTAATACTTAATTTTACATGTAGGTACAATGATTATACTTTAACAAATTTTATTGCATGTAATATTGTACAGTGTATATAAATAGTTCATTAGCTTTATCATTATCTTAATAATATTTAAGCCAAATAAGTATTTTTAATGTTCATTTTCATTAAAAACAAATGATAATTTAGCCTACTAAAACCCACTCCTTTATCTATTTTAATTGGAATGTTGAAGTGAATTGGTAGGGGTTAGGCAGCAGAGGGTAACAAGGCAGTCGCAATAAAAATAGTTATTTTTAAAAATCACTTAAGCGTTGGTGAGATTTCATGGTATGTGTACTTTGCATTTGTTATGTGGCCCTGGAATATAAAGCAAATGACAGTAGGGTTTGTCATTTTAAAATATTGGTAAAAGAAATCAGTTGTAATACTCTAATAAAGTGTACGTGAAGAAATATATATGAAATTGATTAATTACCTTACCTCTCCTACATATCTGCCCACCTCAGCCTCCCAAAGTGCTAGGATTACAGGCGTGAGCCACCACGCCCGGCCCAAGAATCTTCTTAAGGAGAACAGACTTGATTGTCACATCATATTTTAGGACAGGTGACAAAACAGTCTAGATATTAAATTGTTGTAGCTCTGTTTTGTTTGCCTGCTATTAAATACCTTGAAAAAGAGACTGAGAGGAAAATTAAAGTCGGTTAATGCTGCTCATTTAGATTAGTCACACTACATAGGTGCAAACTGCTACACTTTACCTTCTCGTGGGTACTTGCTATCTATTTTACCTTGGAGAGTAAAGCTCCTTTACTCATTAATCATTAGTTATTCCTTACTTGTATCATATTCTGTGTATCATAAGAAAATAGCAAGTGAAAATGTTAACTTATAATGTTAAATATCTCTTATTTTTATTATGTTTACTGGTTTCAAGAACATGCTTAATATTTACTTACATATATTGGCCGAGGGTCTGCTCTGTGCAATATTAGGTTCAGGGATATGTACAATAGTGTGCAAGGCATAGTTGACTGCAGCCAAGTTACAGATTTTCCTGCAGTTTAAAAGTGATCTAATTAAGAAAATGAGTCCTATCAAGAGCATTTGAAACTTTTCAAAAAAATCTTGTAAGGCACATTTATTTATAAAGTAATTTTTCTATGTATAAAGTTGTGCTTTGTTTTACTGGATGTCCAACAACATTATACATAGAAAGCTTTGATGGATGGTACAAGGCAGTTTTTTTTTCCCTCAGAATCTTTCATATTTTTCCATTTTTCCCTGTGAACTGGTATGCCATTTCTTTGTGCTTGTGTTATTTTATTGAAGCATCTCCCCACTTGCTTTCTTTATAGCCTATGTTATAAATAGGTTCTCATTCTATACCATGTCAGCCAGCCAGAAGTATCTCTTGAACTTTGTTTTTTTTTTTCATTGTATCTACCAGATAAACAGGAATCAAATATACTCTGAAAGTAATTGATTTTTAATTACGCTGTAAAAATAAAAGCACAGTATTTCCTAATTCCTTATTGTGATAATTTATTTCCTGAAATGCTGTCATATGCTTAGGAAATGGAATTTTAGCTGCAGTTATTAGGGAATTTTAAAGTTGTTTATGTTATTCAGCAGAGTATGAAATTGTATTTTCAATATCTGTGGGAATCCCTGAGTGTTTCTTTTTGTGTTAGGAAAATATTACATATCAAATTATCTTTTCCTTTTTTTTAGCTTCTGGTGATATTTTTTCTTTCTTTCAGCATATAATCAAGTTTCACAGAGCTTCTAAAGCAAACAAGAAGCCAGTTCAGTTACCTCGGGGAATGGTGAAGTCACTATTGTATCAGATCCTAGATGGTATTCACTACCTGCATGCTAACTGGGTGTTGCACAGAGATTTGGTAAGTTGATCTGTAATTGGTTTAAACTAGAAAGATGCATTACAGTTGGATACTTTTCTAGTTGTCTGTAGATACCAGTGCTATATGTAGGCCCGGAAACCTTATAAGAGGTAGTGAGAATGCTACATTCTCAAAAAATGGCCTAGTAGTGTTTTTATATAATGCATCCTGCTTCTCTGACATACACTAGATGGTATTTATTTTGAAGTGAAATAAGAAAGATACATTTGTTTTCCTAAGCTTCTGTTTCCTTTTAAGTTCATAAATACAGCATTGGCTTGCTTTACATTGATTATTAGATGCAAGGCAAACTAGAAATTTATATATTTATAATAACTTGAAGATAAAACTTTTGGAGACTACTGCATACTTATTTACATATTAGAAAAGAAAAATGTTAATTCAATATGCTTATATTTTAAGCCCCTCTATGTTAATAGCAGTCTGTTGGCCAATAGCCTTTATTAATCGTAATTGAAGTATATTATTAGAAGCCTTGCTGTATTCAGGTACATTGAACTTTTAAGAATTTAAAAACGTAAGAAACTGACTTTTTTATTTAATGTGTCAAAGTCATTTATGCCTTTTTTCACCCATCTTGCACAGGGGTCCCCAGGCCACAGACCAGTCCATGGCCCATTAGGAACCAGGCCACACAGCAGGAGGTGAGCGGTGGGTGAGCATTACCACCTGAGCTCAGCCTCCTGTCAGATCAGTGGCAGCATTAGATTTTCATAGGAGCCAGAACCCTATTGCGAACTGCACATGCGGGGATTCTAGACTGCACACTCCTTATGAGAATCTAATGCCTTATGATCTGAGGTGGTACAGTTTCATACTGAAACCATCCCTTCCCACCCCACTGTGTGGAAAAACTGTCTTCCATGAAACTGATCCCTGGTGCCAAAAAGATTGGGGACCGCTGATCTAGCATATTATTATTCATTAAATTTTCATGGATTTCAGTTACCTAAACTTCAAATTGCCCTTTCTTACTACATAATTACATTGCTTTTACAGTTTTTTTCTTTGTAAAGATAGTAACTGTAATAAGATTTATAACAGCACCGTCATTTCAAACAAATATAAACACAATGCTGAAAGTACTGATTTTGTCTCTCATCACCTGTATACAAAGGAAATATCCTGTAGGCCATGAGGCGGAGCCCATCTGGTCTCTCGCAAAGATGTTTTTCACAAATTTAGTGAGCTTAGTCTCTGGCCTTCAAATGTGCTGTTCCAGTGGCACAGTTTCTACTTCTTTCTTCTAGCTTTAGGAAATTGCCTTGTAGCACATTTAATGTTAGTTAGTTACTTGATCTCCAGTTCCCATACCTACAAAGCATTTAGACTAGGACCAGTAACACAGCAGAAATTTGGTTGGCCTTGTTTCTTTATGCAAACTTTTATTTTTAATAGAGTTAGAATATTTTACTTATAAAAATAGATTTACAGGCCGGGCGCAGTGGCTCGTGCCTATAATCCCAGCACTTTGGGAGGCTGAGGAAGGGTGGATCACAAGGTCAGGAGTTCAAGATCAGGCTGGCCAAGATGGTGAAACCCTGTCTCTACTAAAAATACAAAAAATTAGTCGGCGTGGTGGTAGACACCTGTAATCCGAGCTACTCTGGAGGCTGAGGCAGAGAATTACTTGAACGTGGGAGGCAGAGGTTGCAGTGAGCCAAGATGGCACCACTGCACTCCAGCCTGGACGACAGAGCAAAACTCCATCTCTAAAAAACAAAACAAAACAAAAAATAGATTTACATAACAGAAATCAGACAAATCCTTTGGCATTTTATGAAGCTGAAAATAAATTTTGGCCATTGGGGTGGAGTCAAATTAGGGAAAAACATTTCTACTTTTGAGCTACCTGTCCTTTTTATGATCTCTAAAAGAAAAAACTGTGGCTAAAGGGTATGTTTTTCCCCATCGAGTCAGTTATGCTAAGATAGCTCTACATTTTCTTTTTCTTGTAAATTATTTTTTTCACTTGAAGTATGTATGCATATTAGGTAAATACAGACTGATTTTTAAAACCAATATTTAAATTTCATGTAATAATATAAATATACTTAAGCCACTTGGAGTAGTATTAAGTATAGTAGTGAAAATTATGATACCAAGTTTCTTTTATCCCTCTTATGGTAAAGCTCTTCCTACTAATGCACCTTAAGTAGATTCTCTTTGACATAGGGTCAGTGTAGAACCGATCATTTCAGAAGGCTGTTAGTGGTGTACTAAGTGGTGGAGAGTGGAAGGATCGGTGCCCCCTAATATAGGCAACAAGGGATGCATTGTCTGTAGATGATTTAAAAATAATAATAAAGCATACTAAAAGTTAGTTGCTTTTTATTGTCACCATATGCTGACAATTCTGAACAATTTCAGTAATAAAATATTTCTCTACAGTGAGGCAAATCACTCTTAACTCCTCCATCCCTCTTGCCATTATTTAAGGTTTATTAATCCAAAAAGTTCTGCGGTGTCTACTGCTATCTTCTTTGATTTCTATATTTGAGTGAGATTTTCCGTATTTTCTATGCATGACTTCTTAGTATTCTTTATAAACGTCTGACCCTTCTGTGTATCTCAGGCACACAGAAATCCACTGAACCGTTGTTTCATGAAAATGACAGCCTTTGCCTCTAACCTAGATCCTACTGGTTCAGATGCCCACCTTTCAAATTCTGAAGGAAAAACTCATTTACCATATATGTACATTTTAAAATATGTACAATTTTAAAATTCTGAAGGAAAAACTCATTTACCATATATGTACATTTTAAAATATGTACAATTTTAAAATTCTGAAGGAAAAACTCATTTACCATATATGTACATTTAAAATACATTTCCTGCCAACTGAAAAAGCTTTAAAGTTTTGATGTTTATAGTGTTCGAACAATAGCTACATTTGATTCTAATATATGTAGTAATATCATATTAACTCTCAAGAACATTGGTCAGCCGGGCGCGGTGGCTCACGCCTGTAATCCCAACACTTTGGGAGGCTGAAGTGGGTGGATCATGAAGTCAGGAGTTCGAGACCAGCCTGGCCAAGATGGTGAAACCCCGTCTCTACTAAAAATACAAAAATTAGTCGGGCATGGTGGCACATGCCTGTAATCCTAGCTACTTGCGAGGCTGAGGCAAGAGAATCACTTGAACCCGCGAGGCAGAGGTTGCAGTGAGCCGAGATTGTGCCACCGCACTCTAGCCTGGGTGACAGAGTGAGACTCTGTCTCAAAAAGAAAAAAAAAAGAACATTGTTCAGAAGCTATATAACATAATTTTTTTTAACGTGTTCTTCTCAAATATTTGTTGTTAGTTGCATATGAAATATTTACCCTATCAAAACAAAAATTAATAGTTCATTATATTCTTTACTCCTGTTTAGTCAGATTTAGATCAAATGTGACAATGCTGACCTTAACTCTCTTCATAGACTTCTAATGCTATGAATTGGACCAGTTGGTTGAGGTGCTGACATGCCACAAGAAACTTCATATTAAGGTGGATAATTGGCACAGACACCCTAAAAACACCATTTTAATAATACTCTGGAATGTTATTGATGTTTTTGTTTAATAAAATTGGCTTTATTAATTAATAGAAATACTGGTTTGAGATGGTAGAGTTATGAAGTTCTTTGATATGTATAATTGAGCTTTTAAAATTAACAATCCTATTTAATAAATAACAATTTATCTGGTTGCTATTAATCATCACATAGTAGCAAATCAGTAACTGAAATCTGTCATCCTTGGTGGGAAAATAGAGATTTCTTAATTCTGGAAGTCTTTTTGGGCTGAGAGTCGTAATCAGTGTAAATGTATGGGTGTTTTAAGAAATATGGACCAGAAGAGAAACATAGGCAGTATTTATTTTGTGAAGTAATTTATTGATCCAAACCAAACTTTTTAGTTTTAGATCATTAAAATACGTATATGTAAGTTGTTGCTTATACACTTAATTTGTCTGTGTCCACTAGAGATAAATGAGAACAAAGTTATGTCTGTTGCGTTAGCTTTGTTCCTTCCCTTGATGACTCTCTTCCCCTTTCTTTGTTTATTCTCCTTCCCTCCTTGGGAAGGGAAAATAGTTTGACTACCCGTCTGCTATAGTCCTGGTTCTGGTATTACCGTCTATACTGTTCAGGATACTGCATCTCCAGAGATACGGAACCAACAAGGTGTTTATACATAGATGGAGAATGATTTATTTAAGGAATTGGCACATGCAGTTGTGGAGGCTTGGTAAATCCAGAATCTGCAGAGCAGGCTACAGGCTGGAGACCCAGGAAGAAGTTTTAGCTCTAGTCCAAAGACAGTCTGCTGGCAGAATTCCTTCTTGCTCAGGGGAGGTCAGTCTTGTTCTATGAAGGCTTTCAACTGATTCGATGAGGCATATCCATGTTAAGAAGGGTAGTCCTTATGTGTTTTACTCAAAGTCCACTGATGTAAATGTTAACCTCATCCAACAGCACCTTCACAGAAACATTCAGAATAATGTTTGACCAAACATCTGGACGCTATGGTCCAGCCAAGTTCACACATAAAATTATTCATCCTCGGCTGGGTGCAGTGGCTTACACCTGTAATCCCAGCACTTCGGGAGGCTGAGGCGGGCGGATCACGAGGTCAGGAGATTGAGACCACCATCCTGGCTAACATGGTGAAACCCTATCTCTACTAAAAAAAATACAAAAAAATTAGCCGGGCATGGTGGCGGGCGCCTGTAGTCCCAGCTACTCGGGAGGCTGAGACAGGAGAATGGCGTGAACCCGGGAGGCGGAGCTTGCAGTGAGCCGGGATTGTGCCACTGTACTCCAGCCTGCGTGACAGAGCCAGACTCGGTCTCAAAAAAAAAAAAAAAATTATTCTATATAAGTGAATAAACAAGAAGCACAAGTTAAAATAATGCGAGATAAGTTATTTTGCCCTGTCTTTCTTCCTCTCTCCCTGCTATTACCAAAATAGGAGTATTGGGTTTAGGCA